GCTAAAAGAGTCGCTAAAAAAGTCGCTAAAAAAGTCGCTAAAAAAGTCGCTAAAAGAGTCGCTAAAAAAGTCGCTAAAAAAGTCGCTAAAAAAGTCGCTAAAAGAGTCGCTAAAAAAGTCGCTAAAAAAGTCGCTAAAAAAGTCGCTAAAAGAGTCGCTAAAAAAGTCGCTAAAAAAGTCGCTAAAAAAGTCGCTAAAAGAGTCGCTAAAAAAGTCGCTAAAAAAGTCGCTAAAAAAGTCGCTAAAAAAGTCGCTAAAAAAGTCGCTAAAAAAGTCGCTAAAAAAGTCGCTAAAACGATAAAAAAATCACAATTTTTGCATGGCACTTATGAGCCACCGTACTTTTGACATCGTTCTACAATATGTGTTTGATTTTATTGCCCTAGAGTGTTTTATTTTGTAACGCGAGGCGCCGTGAATCGCCCTTAATTACGCATTGAAAAAGCGGCGTTTTACAAAATTCAGTGATTATCGATTTTCTCCAAAACTAATCGATATTTAACAAAATGAACCATGCAGTGTTTTAATTTGGATATATCAACAAAGTTGAAATGGTAAATTGGCCACCGTAACGATTACAAAAGCTGACATTTCGAGCGTTAGCCCTTCGTCGGAGCGAATAGAGGAATTGTAGGTTATGTGTGCTTTTAAAGGCAGAAAATGGAGCTACGTTATTGGTGGGAACATGGCAACGAGAGAAAATGTAGTGTTTTGTTTTACATTGAGGTTTACCTAACATGAGATTATAGGCCAAATTGATTTTTGAGCTGTTGCCACGAAATTTTAAAAATGTTTGATTTCTGGAACATTTGCTCTTAAGAGCGACTTTTTTTCAAGACCGCTTGAGAGGTGGCACATCGACCTAAAAATGACTATCTTCATAAATCATTTCAGTCAGAGATGCCTTATAGTGAACTTAGAAACGTTGTAAGGTTTTTTTTCCTCAGACTTGCTTCTTTATCCTAGAAAATTCTCGAAACTGAACTGAAACCAGCGTCGGTAGCTAGCCGTAAAATGGCGGAAATCAGTGTCCCGAGTAGAGGCAAATGAACTTTGCTCTTGAAAAGCGCAAAAGAAAGCAAGCTTGTACGAATTTGACAAATTTGTATAGGAAGGATTGAGGTATGGCTTAAGTCTAAAACGGTTCCATTTTATTTAATTTTGACATCACGGGAGGCTTTTAAAAATCACCAATATTTCAAAATCCAAATATCGCATTTTGTAGCAAATTTTCAATTATTGTATTTTCTTGATTAGAAGCCACGGCTTCTATTTTTTTTCAAAAGAAAAATAATGCGGCTTCTAATCAAAGACGGCTTTAATTCAAAGGCGGCTTCTATATTTTTAAAGCCATAGTTTTCACGTGTGAAGTGGTGAATTGTGTCTATCGTGACGTCTATCGGAAATAGCAATCGGAATGCAACAATTAGGATTAAAAACACCTTTTTGATTCATATTCCCATCTACATTTGAAAATCAAGCCCTAGGAAACCAGAAATCTCACGCACAAATCTCGATTTTGAAAGTCATGGCAGAGAAAAGGAAGAGCCACGACTTAAAATTTAAGTTGAGCGCTATTAGATGCGCGGAAGAAACTAACAACAGAAAAGCTGGCAGAAAGTTTTCTGTCGATGAAAGCATGATCCGAAGATGGAGAAAGAATTAATCTAAAATTAGTAGTGAATCTTCGTCGATGGTTCAAAGTAAGAAGAAACGATCGTCTCGCGCTGGAAGGAAACCAGTTCTTGGAGATCTCGAAGAAGAGCTGCTGGACTGAAATCATCGACGAACGTGAGAAACACCATAACGTTCCTTGTAAGTTGGTAAACTTCTGGACACAAGAGCTTGCAACAGCGCATAATTTAGAAGGGTTTCGGGCGAGTCGTGGATGGCTGTTCAACTTTGCGCGGCGAAGCAACCTGTCAGTTAGACGACGTACTACTACTGGACAAACTGATGCCCAAAGATGCTCTACAGAAGATCGCAAACTTTGTAAAGTTTTGTGAAAAGCAAAGAAGTGAATTCAATTTCTCCCTTGGAAGCATTGCCAACATGGACGAGACACCAATTTGGGCCGATATGCCGAGTGAGACAACAGTGGAACAACGTGGATCAAAGACCATTCCCATAAAGTCAACCGGACATAAAAAGCAACGCATAACAGTGTGCTTAGCTGTGAAAACAGATGGATAAAAAATGAAGCCATTTGTTGTCATCCCGGGAAAGAAGGTTAAAAGCGATGCTGCTGCAGTCAAAGGAGCCATTGTAAAATGCTCTCCAAATGGCTGGATGAATGATGACTTGACGAAAATATGGGTCGATGAAGTATGGGGAAGTTTGTCCTTTGAGAAAAGGTTTCTGGTGTGGGACTCTTTCAAGTGTCACATATCTGACGAAATCAAAGAAGCTGTTTGTCAAAAGAAGACAGTGATGGGCGTGATTCCTGGAGGTTGCTCAAAATATCTTCAACAAGCCTTTTAAAGTAGCTTTTCGAGAGTTGTACGACGAATGGTTTTGAAAAGGAGAGTTCGAATACACCAAAGGAGGAATGCAAAAGCCACCAAACTATGCTTTGCAAGTTCAGTGGGTTGTTGAGGCTCGGAAGAAAATTGACAAGGAAATTGTCAGGAAATCTTTCGATACATGTGGGATAACTACGAGCGATCCTAACAACTTGAAGTTCATTGTCTTGGAGAGGGCCAACCAACTGAGGAAGCTAGAGTGCTGTTGAGAGAGTCACATGCAAGTATCGAGCATGTACCAATGCCTACGTTAGATGACTACATTCAACACGAAAGTGAGATGTATAATGTGGATAATGTAGAGGACTTAACAGATAAAATCGTTGAAGAAGGTGAAATAGAAATCATCATGTTATATGAGACAATCTTTCGTTTTTTACTGATCTACTTTCTATTGCGGCTTCTATTCAAGGGCGGCTTCTATTTTTTCTTTTCACGAACTTTCTGCGGCTTCTATTCAGAGGTGGCTTCAGTTCTAATCAAGGGTGACTCAGTTGTATCCAAGAAAATATGGTGTCATTTTCACCCTGCGGTATAACTCAGAATCGCTTCAGGTCATGGTTAGCCATGGTTATTGTAAACAATTCCGCCATGGGAAATGGATGAGAATTTACAACGAAAGCAGAGATAAAAACTAATCTGCCGTGGTTGGCTATGCAAGGCTAGCTTACTGTATTGATTTCCTGATCGACCACGCCGCTAACTTCTAAAATGTGCTTGGAATTCCGGATTTAACCACGGGGTGCCTAATTAGATTATGTCGTAACGTAAATGACGATGTTGCGATTTTCACAAAGTTCAGCCTGGTTTTTCCGTGCGGGAATGAAAAGCCCCAAATTAACTTTTATATCCTCGGAAAAAACACTATTTCCACTTATTATGAGATTAACCTGAAGCGATTCTGAGTTATACCGCATGGTGAAAATGATAATTGAACATTTGCTACAAAATGCGATGTTTGCATGGATTTTGAAATATTGGTGATTTTTAAAAGCGTTCCGTGATGTCAAAATTAAATAAATTGGTCCCGTTTTAGACTTAAACCATACCTCAATCCTTCCTCTACAAATTTATCATGAGCAAAGTTCATTTGCCTCTACTCAGGGTACTGATTTCCGCCATTTTACGGCTACCGACGCTGGTTTCAGTTTTCGGGAATTTTCTAGGATAAAGAAGCAAGTCTGGGAAAAAACCTTACCACGTTTCTAAGGTATCTCTGCGCAAAATATAAGGGTTTTCAATTTTTCGATGATGTGCCACATTTTTCGAATTCCACTCTGTCAATTCAAAGACTCACTTACTACGAACAATACAATAAATATTTAAATTTCACCCCAAAATGTATATCAGACGAGGTGGCCGAGTGGTTAAGGCGTTGGACTGCTAATCCAATGTGCTCTGCACGCGTGGGTTCGAATCCCATCCTCGTCGCAAAAACGTTATTTTTCCTTTTTCTATCTCACCTATTTGTTCAAACAAAGTTTTCTCTATTCTTTTTTAAAACTCATTTCCCTCGAAAAGTACAGTAGTGTGTTGTCGATTAACATGGCCGAACAACACACCAGAAGATTTTCAAAGAATTTTGAATTAATCGAGTCAGAACTTATACGACTTGAGTCATGTTTATCCCGCAAGAAACGGTTTGCAAAGAAGGTCCTCAACCTGAAATCGTCGAAGATCGACTTTTCCTG